CTTGTCGTGTAAAACAGCGTGGCGGGCCCCCCAGTAAGTGCTATAAGCCGGTGGAATGTACGCAGAAAGGTGAAATTAATGCCAACATTGTATGACTATTGTGAATACTAAAACATGCTGAACAAGCAGGCCATAACCTACAAATATACACTGCGATACACTGCTGCTCCCACAGCACGACGTGAGCGGTGAGATGCCGCTTGTTTCGAATGCAAGGGCACAGACCATACTGCACGACGGTGTCTACCACGTAACGAGTCCTTACGGAGAACTGGAGAAATATCTAAAAAGTGTGGAAGCATAGGTCACTACTGATCGTGCCGTAAAGCCATTAACGATGTGGTGCGGCCAAGAACGTTCCCTAGGAGATTTCGTACAAAACGCTGCTCCTTATGATGTAGTGCTGGGGCTGGGCTGGTTGGCTGAGCACAAGGTTGCATGGCATTTTCAGTCTTATAAGCTCAAAACATATGTGAATGGCAAGTGGTGTGAGCTGCCGGTAGTTCGAACTGCCGGAGAGAGACCCAAGAGCAGCAAAACAACACTACACAAGACCGTTCGAAAACCCCCTCAGAGCAAGCACATGACCTGTTGGCCAAGCAAGTATCAGGCATGTCCTCGGAGGAGGCTGCAGTATTATTACGTTCACCACTTGAGAAATATAAGTCCCACACTACAACTCGACGGAAGGTGCCGATCGACCCTTTGGTTCTGTAGGATATATCAAATTCGAAGACTCACAGATCCAGTGAAAGGATTGAACCTTATATTGCCTCTACCGGAAGCCGGAGGGACAGATGCAAGTAGGCTCGCAGCTGATGGATAAGGGGCGTTGTGTTGTGCTATGATTGAGCATGCCAACTCACGCACCAACAGACCAGCTCCCAAGCTCCCGCTGTCTTGGCAGCAGTGGAAGAGGGAGACACGCCGTCGTGCTCTAGGGCTAAGTTAAAATAGTCCCGTTTCGATAAGTTGATGGAATCAGAAGAGTCGCGGGATACGCCACCGGAGATACTAGAAATATTCTGTGCCCATAGGCAGGTATTCCCCGATACCCTCCCATCTGGAATGCCACCGGAGAGGCCTCAAGAGCATCGTATACTACTGATGCCGGGGAAACCGCCTCCGAATTTTGCCATATACCGCATGGCACCAGATAAGTTTAAATACCACAAACAGGAGGTGGCTAAGTTGTTGGCTAATAGATGTTATAAAGATTTACCTATTTGTGCCTCTATGATCATGGTGAATAAAAGAGACAACGGTTCAAGAGAGCGAAAGACGCGAATTGTTGTCGACTATCAAGAACTGAATTCTCTTAGCCCCTGATTTCCCGCTACGCCCTATTCAAAATATTCTTGATATGGTGGATGGCGCTAAATATTTTTTTACTCTTGATCTAGAGGCTGGATTTCATTTGATTCGTATGGCTAGGGAAGATCGATGGAAGACAGTCTTCCGTTCTGTTATGGGTATATCTGAATATATGTTGACGCCCTTTGGCCTAACAAATGCGCCAAAAACATTTCGAGCAGATACAAATGCTTATTTATAACCTTTACTGGGTCAGAGTGTCAAAGCGGATCTAGACGATGTTCTTATCCATAGCCTTGACTCCCTAGCCATGTTACCCTCCTGAGACTAGTGCTAAGTATTTTCCTTAAACACCAATTCTATCCCAAGTTTCGCANAGCCATGTTACCCTCCTGAGACTAGTGCTAAGTATTTTCCTTAAACACCAATTCTATCCCAAGTTTCGCATGTGCAAATTCACGAAGCAGTTACTGTAATGCACTGAAGCACCTTTGTACCGCGTACGCAACCCACTAAGTAAGGCAGTTCGCAACTAATACTAGCGGGATCTACGAAACTAGTACTTAGAAGTAGTTGCAAAGACGAATTTGTGGACAAATATTGGAGGAAAATTGTCCTTCGAGACTGGACTGTCCGCCACCCCGTTCGCCCCTAACTAGGCGATCGGCCGGCCAGATCTTAGAACCGCAGGGAGACGCCGGCGTGGGGCCGCTGCGTTGCGGCCTGGCTGCGTTCTGCGGTGACTCTGCCTCTAACGAGGGAGTCGGCTATCCTCGGCTAACCACTTTCGCTCTACCATTTGGTTAGCTTATTTTAAAAATTTTGAACATAACTGTAAATCTCACTTCGTTTTTGCCCACTGGATGTCTTCGGTTGTGCATTGTAGTGCCAGTGCACTACAACTTCCCCCCTCGGCTGATACTTTCCCGGCTACTTCTTGAAATTTTCTCGCCCTATNGCCAGTGCACTACAACTTCCCCCCTCGGCTGATACTTTCCCGGCTACTTCTTGAAATTTTCTCGCCCTATCTTTCCCGACCCTTCGTCTTACTACATTAGTTTCCCTTCTTTCCACTAGCGTCTATACTCGCGGGTCTGCTCCTTCGTCTCAAACGCATAGCGCGGGGCTCGCGTACGCGCAGGAGTCCGCCGTTTGAGTCCGCTGAGTTTCTCAGCGAAGCATGTTCCGCCGACCCGCTTGTCTTCGGCATTTGAGTTGAACTTCCCTCAGTTGTGAGTGGTGCGGCTACCAGGGGTTGCCGCTCCACTCCTTCCCCGCCCTGGCGAAAGAGACTGCGGCGAGAGAGTCGAAGTTGAGGCGGTGATGCCGGAGGCTGGAGCGAAGGCCTGGGAGCCCTGCTGAGCGTGGTGGGTCCGCTTGCGATTACGTCTCCACCCACGAAGAAGTGCTGGGCAGTTGGTGAGGTCGGCTGCGGGTTCCTAAGTCGCACACTCTTCTGGGGCACCTCTCCACTTGACAAGATATTGAAGATATGCACCGGAGCCGCGTTGATCCAGAATATAATCGACCTCGTAGATATCGGAAGGGTTACCGTCCGGACCAGTGACCGGTAGCCACTTCACAGCTGCTTCCTTGGACTGCATCTGGGGGTCGCGGGGGCGATCAGGAATAAGTTGCGAGACGTGGAAGACGTTATGGCATGTGTACGTTGGTGGGAGCTCAATGCGGTATGCAACCTGGCCGATGCGTTCCAAGACCTTGAAAGGGCCGCGAAACCGAGGCTCAAACTTAGAACACTGGTTACGTCCCGGAAGGTGACGACTGCTGATCCAGATCCGATCGCCTGGATTGAAGATCACGTCTCGCCGGTGAGCATCTGCGTAGAGCTTCTGTTGCCACTTCGCCTTGAGGATATGACTCTGGGCCCTATCGCACAGCTGCTGGAATAATTTGGTCATGGGCGGTGTAAGAGTGGGCGCCAGATTCCCTACGACATCAAGGTCTGCTGCGGTAACCGGATTCTGGCCAATCATGACTTCAAAGGGGCTAAGTTCAGTTGAGGAGTGGGCGGTGGTATTATAAGCAAGCTAGAGCGCCGGGAGCAGACGTTCCCAATCGCGTTCGTCTGTTTGAATGTACGTGCGGAGCATCTGCTCCAACGTACGATTGACTCTCTCCGTCCGGCCGTCGGACGAGAACACAAACGCACGTGAGAAACACAATTCTGAGGCCTAGTAGGGATCCAAGTTTCCTCACACGATGGGCTAATGCGAATCCATAACAGTAGATTTGCTGCGGGCACAGTATGTGTAGTGCACTAGCACTACAAGTAAATGCTATTAATACGGATAGATAAATTAGAAGATATAAGGAGCG